CCCCCCAGTCCTCACCACTGCTGTGAACTGGTGGAAGTCGGGGCGCAGGTCGCTGCCTCGCAGGTGGATGTAGGAGCCCTTGTTGCCCATCTGGTCGCTGGGGGGGGGACAAAAGGGGACATTTGGGGACATCACGGGCACCCCCATGGGGACACCGAGGTTTGGGGACCCTCCCCCCCAGTGACAGGGACACTTGGGGACATGGAGGCGGGGCTCTGTATGGGGACACCGGAGCTTGGGGACAGGGAGGGGGAGCCTCACGCGGGGGACTTGAGGGTTGGGGACACTTGGGGACACTGAGGTATGGGACAGGGACACCCAGGGAGCAAGCTGAGGGGACACCAAGCCTCAGGTGACACCCAGTGACCAAAGTGAGGTGACACCAAGCCTCAGGTGACACCCAGTGACCAACTGAGGTGACACCGAGGCACAGGTGACACCCGGTGACGAACTGAGGTGACACCAAGCCTTAGACGACACCTGTTGACCAAACTGAGGTGACACCAAGGGCAAGGTGACACCCGTTGACCAACTGAGGTGACTCCAAGCCTCAGGTGACACCCGTGGACCAGGCTGAGGGGACATCGAGTCTCAGGGGACACTGGGGACCACGCTGAGGTGACACCAAGCCTCAGGTGACACCCGGTGACCAAACTGAGGTGACACCAAGCCTTAGGTGACACTCGCTGACCAACTGAGGTGACACCTAAGGCCTCAGATGACACCCGGTGACCAAGCTGAGGTGACACAAAGCCACAGGTGACACCCGGTGACCAACTGAGGTGACACCAAGCCTCAGGTGACACCTGGTGACCAACTGAAATGACACCAAGCCCTAGGTGACACCTGGTGACCAACTGAGGTGACACCAAGCCTCAGGTGACACCCGTTGACCAAGTGAGGTGACACCAAGCCTTAGGTGACACCCGGTGACCAACTGAGGTGACACCAGGCCTGAGGTGACACCCGTTGACCAAGTGAGGTGACACCAAGCCACAGGTGACACCGATGTCACACTCAAACCATGGAACGGCCAAAACGATGCCACCGCTCCTCCCCGGTGGTGACAATGTCCCCTCTGGGTGTCCCCAAGGGTTGGTGCCACTCACCAGTAGTTGGGGGCGGAGAAGACGGTGACACACTTGCCATCGTGTGCCACCTCGTAGCCCTCGGCTTTGACCTCGTGGCTCCGGATGATGTAATCGAGTCGGTTCCGTTCCAGGAAATTTTTGGTGACGTCGGGACCGAACTGGCAGCTGACGCCGCGTTTGCTGACCGAGCGCCCGTTCTGCGGGGACATCGGTGTCACTGTCACCTGGGTGAGTGTCACCGAGGTTGGGGATGTGCCATCTCACAGGGGTTTGACTCACCTGGGGTTGAGGGTCCGACCAGAGGAGGTCACACATGGGACCTGAGGGGACAAACAAAGGGTCAGGGTCACGGCGTCTGGCACGGAGGGGACATCAAGGGACAGGGGACACCCGGGGACCAAGCTGAGGGGACATCAAGGGACAGGGGACACCTGGGGACAAAGCTGAGGGGACAATGTGGCTCAGGGGACACCTGGAGACCAAGCTGAGGGGACATCGAGGGACAGGGGACACCCGGGGAATGGGCTGAGGGGACATCGAGGCTCAGGGGACATCGAGACAGAGGTGACACATGGGGACCCAGCTGAGGGGACAATGTGGCTCAGGGGACACCTGCGGACCTGGCTGATGGGACATTGAAGGACAGGGGACACCTGGGGACCAAGCTGAGGGGACATCAAGGCACAGGCGACATGTGGGGACAAAGCTGAGGGGACATCGAGGGACAGGTGACACCTGGGGACCAAGCTGAGGGGACATTGAGGGACAGGGGACACGTGGGGACCAGGCTGAGGGGACATCAAGGCAGAGGTGACATGTGGGGACCAAGCTGAGGGGACATCGAGGGACAGGTGACATTGGGGGACCAGGCTGAGGGGACATCAAGGCAGAGGTGACATGTGGGGACCAAGCTGAGGGGACATCGAGGGACAGGTGACATTGGGGGACCAGGCTGAGGGGACATCAAGGCAGAGGTGACATGTGGGGACCAAGCTGAGGGGACATCGAGGGACAGGTGACATTGGGGGACCAGGCTGAGGGGACAAAAAGCGGATCACGGTCACCATGTCCACCCTGGAGGGGATATCAAGGGACAGGGGACACGTGGGGACAAAGCTGAGGGGACATCGAGCCTCAGGTGACACCTGGGGACCAAGCTGAGGGGACGTCAAGGCTCAGGGGACACCCGGGGACCAGGCTGAGGGGACATCAAGGGACAAGGGACACATGGGGACAAAGCTAAGGGGACATCGAGGCTCAGGTGACACCCGGGGACCAGGTTGAGGGGACATCGAGGGACAGGTGACATGTGGGGACAAAGCTGAGGGGACACTGAGGGACAGGTGACACCTGGGGACCAAGCTGAAGGGGACATTGAGGCACAGGTGACATGTGGGGACAAGGCTGAGGTGACATCAAGCCTCAGGGGACACCAAGGGATGAGGCTGAGGGAACATCGACTCAGGGGACACCCAGGGACCTGGCTGAGGGGACATCGAGGCCCAGGGGACACCGAGGGACACTTTGGGGACAAAGAGGTGACATTTTTGGGGGTTCAGGTCTCACCTGAGTCCGGGGGTTGCCGGTTCCTCTCGATCTTGCGGATGTCATCGAGGGTGACACCGTCCTCGCTGAAGAGACCCCCGTGCATGATCTGGGGACAACGGGGACAGTGGGGACAACGGGGACAATGGGGACAAGGGGGACCCCCCCCATCCCAACCCCTGGGGACAAGGACGGGAGGGACCCCAAGGTCTTGGGGACAGCGGGGACCTCCCCTGGGTGACAGGGACATCCCCACAGGTGACAGGGACACCCCCAGAGGTGACAGGGGGACAGTGGGGACAATGGGG